TGACCAGACTAGTGTCCTATACGGACGCTGATTGGGGGCTGCCCCGACACTAGATGATCGACCTCCGGATATTGTGTGTTCTTGGGGGACAATTTAATATCATGGTCTGCCACAAGTCAAGCAACTTTGTCTCGGTCCAGCGCAGAATCAGAATATAGAGGCGTAGCTAACGTAGTTGCCGAAACTTGTTGGCTTAGGAATCTGCTTTTTGAGCTCCATTGCCCTCTTCGGAAGGCATCCCTTGTATATTGTGACAATGTGTATGTTGTTTACCTCTCTAGCAATCCCGTCAATCATCAGCGGACGAAGCATATAGAGTTGGACATCCATTTCGTTCGTGAGCAAGTCGCGTTGGGTCTTGTTCGAGTACTTCATGTTCCCTGGTCATATAAATATGCAGACATTTTCACTAAGGGACTTCCCCGTCAACTATTCTTTGACTTTCGTTACAGTCTTAGCGTTCGTCTTCCTCCCACTACAACTGCGGGGGCGTGTTAGAGAATATGTTAATATTCTCTAGTATATATTATGTGGATATATTTTGTGTATTTATGTATATCTTAGATTCTCATATCTTAGGTTGTACACCCTATAAATATTCATGAATGAGAATATGATAGGCAAGGAGATTTACACAATCTGACAGTTCCCGATATGAACTCTTAGCTTCTCTCCGTCTCATGTCCAATACATGAATTTCAAACTAATGCCATGAATATGGTCATCCATCTTTTGTTGTGTACTTAATGTACCAAAATTAGAGCCACTACTAAAGGTGGGCATTAGCCGTACCAGCCCGCATGCGGCTCGGGTTTGGCACGACACGAGCTTGCCAATGGCACGGTTCGATGACCGAAAAGTGGGCCCTGGGCCGTGACGTGAACACGATTTCAAGAATTCGACACGAACCCGCAGGTGGTAGTTTGGCCCGCCAGCACGACATGCCCGACACGGTCATAAAATAACATAAATAATAATAAAGAACTACAATAATAAAAATAAGAATAATAAAAAGAACAATATATAATAATAACAAAAAAACATAAACATAAATTAGTCAAATTATTTAATAGTATATCCACTTTAAAAGTTGTTTTAAAAAAAATAAAAAAAATTATTGGCGGTCCGGTGTCCGGCACTGCACGACAAGTGGGCTGTGGTGTGCTAAATAGTGGCCCGGCACGGCACGATACGACATGCCAAGACGTAAGCAAGGCACGGGTCACCACCAGGCACGGCAAGGCACGGCCCGCGACGGTCCAGCACTGCACGTTGCGTACCTCTAGCCACTACCCATATATCATGCATTACATTGGTTCACTTTTGCCATGATATAAGTATACAAGCAAGGAGAGGAGCTAATTACAATAGAGAGCTCCCGTTAATTAGAAAGAAAATTAAAGTAGATAAAATGACAAAGCTGCCTTACTTATTGGGTGAAATGACACTGACATCCCCTCAGTTTATAAACTTGATCGAATTTCCTCGAGAAAAACATCAACCCAACCATATCAGATTGGAAAGGAGGGGGTTGGTAACCTTCACTTGATGATAAATGTTAAACGCCTACATTGTTTTTCATGAACCATTGGCGTAGCTTCATGCTAAGTGAAAGTTGATTGAGCACCAAGTCGAAAGTAGAGATGGGATTATCCCTAATGACTCGATAATTCCTAGATGCACGAAGTTCATAAGGTGACTAACTACAAAGGTAACTAAACGCTCAATTTTAATCCCATCATGTTATATAAGAGAAATGTAATTAGAGACCTATTCGTCCAAGTAGATCTGCTTGTGTAATTAGAGACCTGTTTGGTAAAGGCTACACATACAACTCTAATTTGTAATGTTTTTATTGGCTAAAATAATAGGCACAAGTTCCATTAAATTCAATTTATATTTGACTCTTAATTTTTTCCCATGTTCTGTTGATGTGTTAAATTTCTAATAGTTTTGTACGTAGGGACAACATACAATGATTGTCTAGTAAATTCTCTTATGAATATGAGGGAATTACAATTTCCCAAATCTCCTATTCTACAAGGGAGTTGAACAATGGACTTAAGTGATTTTGCTAAAGTGTCATTGATTATACTTCGTACAATTATTAGGAGTTTGCAATTTTAAATGATTATTTAAGTGTAAATATTTGTGAATTTAACAGTGGTAAAAGGCATTTTTAGGTAAACACTGATTTTACCACTATTAAATTCACAAATATTGGCCAATAGGCCATGGAAAGGTTAGGAAATAGTCTATCACTCCCCAAATAATTTAGATTAGACTAAAATTCACAATTGACTTTAAACAAATGTTTTTGAAAGAACCTTGTTTCTTACTAGCATATGAATTCAGAGCCCTGACTGTAGAATAGTCAAATCCTATTATTAGCTTTTGACACCAAAAAAACATTAAGCCTAATATTAGGATAAAATTTGTATTAGATTGTGGTTTGCTATCAAATATAGGACTGGAATGAAAATTAGAGGAAAATGTGGTTTACCACTTTTTTAGGCACATTTCTTATTGTATGATTATGCACAATCCTTATTATAGATTTCTTTCTGGCAATATATAACAATTCATACATTCTTATACTAGATCTTAAAAAATAATAAAAGTGTAAAAATATATACCTTCAAAATAAGAAGAAAAAAAAAGAGTGCATAGGCCGGGCAGGACCATGTTGAGTGCTTAACAAATTCAATTGTTTTAGTCTATCGTGCCCTGAGCCTTGCGCAAAAAAAAAATAATAATAAAATAAAATAAAATAGAGGTCGCCCCCATTAGTTTTATTTAATTTTAATAAGAAAAGGGAAGATTGATTTTGCAAATTATAATTAAAAGCCATGGAATTTGCAAATAACAAGATTAAAATCCCCGTTTTCATTTTTGTAACCATTTTGGTGGCCATTATTCCTACTACACAAGCTAACATTGTAGGAAACAACACTGTTAAACAGCATGAACACGATGAATGGTTTCAGAGAAAACTTGCTGAAGCTTATAATGCTTCATTACAAGCCTATCATCATGAACCTACTGAAGTTATGGATGAATTTAACTACCATGTCCATCGGTAATTTTTTTTTTTCCCAATTTTTCATCTATATATAGGAATTATCATTGTATTATTATATGTTTCTTTTAAGGTAGATGTATTCATGCATAGAGTTTCAATAGTTATCAAAACTATGCAACAATAATTAATCATAATACTGTATCATATAAACATCTAGGGCTCCCTAGAGGGTATAATTGCACATTATTTTTTTGGGTTGGTAAGAAAAGGGTCCTATTAGTTTGAAATCTCTCATAGATCAATCTGACTCGAGTTAGCAGGACAAATACATTATTACTAGTAGTTTTATTTTTGTGTTTTGGCATTTGCGATGTTGATTTCATTATGGAATTAATATCTTGTTAATTAGTCATATTAAAAATTTGCTCCTATACACAAGAAAATCCTTTGTTAATGTACATGACATAATTTAGTTTGATCATAAATTCTCAATGACAAATTTGCAGGTCATTAGAAGGAACCAATAGTACAAGAAGAGGGCTAGGTAAGTACAGGGGTGCATGCAAGGCTCAAAACCCAATTGACCGTTGCTGGAGGTGCAAGGCTAATTGGGCTCAAGACCGAAAAAGATTAGCGGACTGTGTTAAGGGTTTTGGACGTCGGACCACCGGAGGAAAAGACGGTCCGTATTATGTAGTAACAGACCCTGCTGATGACAACGTTGTTAACCCCAGGCCAGGAACCCTCCGTTTTGGGGTGCTTCAACCTGGTCCCTTGTGGATTACATTTGCTAGGGATATGAGGATTGTGCTCAGTGGAGAACTATTGGTGACAAGCGACAAGACGATCGATGGTCGTGGTGCACAAGTCCGGATAGCCGATGGAGCTGGGATCACCATCCAATTTGCAAACAATGTCATCATTCATAACATTAAGATCCATGATATTAAGCCTGCTCCTGGAGGACTAATTAGGGACACACATGACCATGTTGGCATTAGGGGTGCTGATGATGGAGATGGTATCAACATCTTTGCCTCCACCAACATTTGGCTCGACCATCTTTCTATGTGGAATTGCAGAGATGGTCTTATCGACATCGTTAAGGGTTCCACTGCCATCACCCTTTCTAACAACCATTTCACCAGACATGACCACGTAAGTCAATAAATATTACGAAGTACATACGGGTAAAAACTATGGTCAAAGTTTATAAAGTTTAACATCTCGCATTACATCTTTTTTTTCTTTAACTGTAATATGGGATGACTATGTACAGGTGCTGTTGTTTGGTGCTAGTGATACTGATCCAAAGGATGAGATCATGCAAATATCACTAGCATTTAACCACTTTGGAAAGGGGCTTGTCCAAAGAATGCCAAGGTGTAGATACGGTTTCTTCCATGTTCTCAACAACGATTACACACACTGGATAATGTATGCTATCGGTGGTACTTCGCATCCCACCATCATCAGTCAAGGCAATCGATTCATCGCTCCTCCAAATCCTACAGCTAAAATGGTAAGAAACACAAACAATTCACCATCAATTATACTAACATGGCATTAGTTACTCTAATCACATGCAAAAGATTCAATGTTGTTTTTCTTTGTTTGATATTCATCAATTTTTTTTTTATATTTGAATGAAACAGATCACAAACAGGAACAATGTTGTCGGCGAAGAATGGAAAAAATGGATATGGAGATCGGAGAATGATGTGTTCTTGAACGGAGCTTACTTTGTAGAATCAGGACACCCCTTAGACCAGAGGCGTTTCAAGAAAGATTTTATCAAATCAAAACCTGGAACATACGTGAGGAGGCTTACCCGATTCGCGGGTCAGCTCAGATGTATAGTTGGAAAAAGCTGTTAGATGTAACATATGTTTTTCGTTTTTACAACATTTATGCAATTAATACACTTTTTTCTCTTATTTGGTCTTATAAAACATAGAGTACTCTTTCTAAGAAAAGGATTATTGGAACGAATGTGCATGAAAAGGATATATTTTACAAACCATTATAATAAGTAATCGTAAGTACATTCAAAGTTTATGTAGATGCGAAGTTAATATGAATTGGTTTACCCAATTGCAATGTTTTGGTCCAAAAGTTCTTCATATAATCATAGTCATGAGTTTGTACAACACAATTCCTATCTCTCTCACCATCCCATCATCAATCTGCCTACATCAACAGAATCGACAAACATATCATCTGGTAAGCAATCAACTTAGGCATGGCTGCTCTCTCTCTTTCTCCTTTGCTAGTTTCGTTTTCTTTCTATCTCACTGAGAAGCAAACAACATGTAATGAAAAACATATACTCCGTACCATCAGGTAAAGCTACTTTCATGTTCTTTCCATCCTACTGTAGGGCAAACATGTAATGCAAACACATCATCTGGTAAGCTAATTTTGTTTCTTTACAATCCCACCATGAAACAAATATGTTAAAGCAGACACATTCAACTTGTATTGCAGTTTCCTTTCTATCCCACCGTCAAGCAAACATTTACAAAGTATATTCAATGGTTTTCCTTACCTATTTCAGCGCGCACACACCCTCCTACCAATTCAATACATAAAATGGGAAGGTCAATTAACACCGAGTTCAAAACCCTAATCACTTGAATAGTTTTCTCAACATGCATATGCCATATCTAAGGGCCTACGGATTAATCTTGGTATTTCTGAGAGTCTAAACCTGAAAGGAGAAAAAATGAGTCTCCAGTAGAGATGAACTAAAGATTTAAGAGTCACCTTTACACAAAGCACTGAGATGCTGCCAGTTCTGGTATGCTGTGACCTAAGTAAATGGTCAATCATCTGAACTACATGCGTGGGATTGGGGGCTATGAGTTGAACTGAGCTAGATTTCTTCTTTGTTGTTAGTGCTTCGTTGCTTGTTGCCAAGCCTGAATGAGAAGAACCTGTGCCAGGTGTAGAGGGAAGGAGATAAATTGAAACAGTGGCTCAAGGGGTTTCTGAAGCAGGATGGCTGGAGAATGAATAAGTTTTTTTGTTTTTTATTTTTTTTTGGGCCAACAAAACACAGGAAATTTAAGCTGGCTCATTTCTTGCTCAAATTACTCCGTACTAACTTTAGCTTATGAGCTTTAAAAACTAGATATCTATCAACCGTGATAAAAGCTACTATATAAGAAAATCTACCTGCAAGACTTCTAATTCATCAAGCAATTGAAGGCTCCTCCCTGCAACCACGGATTGGAAATAGCTCAGATGGCTTTTGTTGAGTTAATCCAAATCTCAATTCGGCTGATTTCCCATCTGCTTTCCATATTCCTTGGAAAATAGCATACTTTTTTTGTAACCAAGAATTTGGATATGTTTTCTTCCCTCCAGGAGTCCTGGGTCCTGGATATTCATTATTGCTTATCAATATCTACCCAATTGCAGCAGCTCATCTCTTTTTGATAACCAAGCCCCATTTACTAGAATCCTAATCAGTTCATTATCCTTCTTACTTCCCAACTCCTCAATAAAACTTTTAAAGCCTAGTATGGTCTTCTGTTTCTGGACCCTGGCTAGCAGTGATCTGCCAACAATCCCTTGTTCAAATAACTTCAAAATTCTCATCGGGTTGCATTACCCCCCCCCCCCCCCCCCCCCCTCTTTTTACTTTTCAAAACCAGCTTTAGCTAAATTGATAAGTATATAAAATATTCAAAGCTGTAGCAAAACTTCTACCACGCCTCCATGTTTATTAAAGTGGAAAGAGAAGTGAAAATTTATCAATAAACTACCAAATGTCTTTGCTTCTGTCATATACTCTCTCCAAATTTGCTTTCTCAGACAACAAGGCCTACAACCCCTACAATTTCACAGAACCACCAACCCAACCACATAAAACAGACATTAACACATATGTGCACCAACCCACATGGCATACCTAAAATGCTCTAATTTTATTAAGACTACAGGAAAGCATATAGTTTCCTAACTCGAATGAGTTCGACTTCAAACTTTAAAACCAATATTGTATGCCTAAAAGCTAGAGAAGGGCAAACTTCAGCCAGATCCTACTAGAAGGGCAAAGTCAATAACCAGTTTTCTTCTTGCATACATAAAATATGAGTTGGATTGTCATCAATTAAGTAAAACATAAAATAAATGCAAGAATCTGAAGATTGGGTGAAGTCGGGCCCATAACAATACTGCTGTTGCTAACAGTGGCTAAATGAGAGACAGCAGTGGAAATTACAATTGCATTTCCGTGTATGACGCCCTACTTTTCTTATGATAGTATTCAAGACTCAGCAAAACCGAAAAATTGAGAAACAAAATAATGCACATATCAAAACTGATGAGATTCTTACTTGGTATTTGTTCCCAAAAAAAGAAAACTGTTCAAAATAAAATACAGGTCTATTCAAATCGAGTAATGATTTCTAACCTGGTAGCCTGCCTCCTATAGAAATACAAGTGCTCATCCTGTTCAATATTACAACCCCTTTTGATGCTTTAGAACTGCTTTGTTTTGTTCCTGAAGAACTTGTCCCTTTTAGCATAAACAAAACAAAGAATGACAAAAGTTGCAGCAGACATATACATAGAGGCCCATGGAACTGGTGGATCTGTGAAACACACAAGTGAAGCATCCAACTCCTGTGATGCACGATAGATGATTGAGTGCATGGCATACAAGTCATGTTCCGATGATCTCAAGTAATATGAGGCCAACTCAAATTCCAAATGGGACAGCGCTGTAATCATCTTATCTAGCTTATACTTAAAAAGAGACCACCTCTGTGAGAATTCAGTAACCTGGTTACCCTTCAATAGCTTATGATACCCACCATGTGCCTTAACAGATTGAAGGACTTCTATGGCACTCGAAACAGTATAATTCAAAGTGGTCAAAAGAACATTCCTTCGAGCAGCATCCTTCTGCACAAACGACAAAGAAGAAATCTCCGAGAACGGTCCAAATGGAGTTTGCCCAACACTCCAAGTATAATCAACCAAAGTGGTATTATGCCTGGGGCTCCATCTCAAATGGGTTGGAGACACACCCCACATACTCTGCAAGACTGATCCAATAATCGGCCTCTCAAGCTCTCTAGTCTGAGTAAAAACATGACGCCCATTGCAACTATAATCGCTCACAGTCTGAGTATTTCTTGTCCTAATCGCAATCACCATATCCTTAAACGCAACAGATTGATGAAACCGATCAAGCAAAAGCAACGTATTATCATCCAAATCGAAAACATACACCGGGATAACCCTCTTAAAATCATCCTCCTCATGAACACCCGCCAACCTCTTAAACTCATCAGCCGAATCAGACAGTATCTGATGCAACTTCTTCGAGTCCACATATTCACTCACAATCAAAGTATAGTTATCAAACAAAAACCTACTAGTATACGAGCTTTTCGACTTGGAAACAGCAAAGGAACACAAAGCACACTCCTTATAATTAATCTCATACTTCTTAAAACTCAAAGACTGATCCCCAAGCAACAAACCCTTATCCGACAAAGCATTCTCAATCGATTTCCAATCCAACCCATAACTATTATGATCATTACCATCACTCCCAACAACATGAATAAACTGAACAACAAGATTATTCTCAAAAGGAACAGGAATTCTCAAAGAAGGAACAAGCAATATCTGATAAGCACTATAAACCAACGAAGCTAAATCAGCCAACACCGCCTTATCCGATTTCGCCTTCCCATGAAAAGCAGCAAGAGGATGAAACTCCCCCTTTGGAAGAACCCCATCACCCGAAAGACCCGGCCCGTAATCCACCGGGCCAGCACCCAAATCAACCCAAATGTACCTATCCTTACTCACCCAAACCGAACCCAAGCACTTTGTAAAGCTCGGCGAAGACAATTCCGACCCAGTTGAGCCCGAATACGTATAAGCATACGGTTTCGATTGGGCGCCGAGATTGATGAGATAGACGGTATACCCATGAAGGGGCTTCTCGCGGCGGAAGTCAGCAGCTATGATCTCATCGACAACGGAGTAAGAAACAGACAAGAGGGATGACCGGAGAGATGACGTAGATGAGGCGAGAGAAGCGCGGATTGCGGAGGAGAGAGAGGAGGAGAGAGAAGGGGAGGAGAGAGAGGCGTCGTGGTGGAGGGAGTGGGAGAGGGAGAGGTGGTGGAGAGTGGAGTCAAAGGGGGTGATGACGTGGAAGGGGGAGGAGGAGTGAGAAGAAGAGAGGAAGGAGGAGAGGGTGGAGGCGGAGGAGGGGGTGAAAGAGGGGCCGACGAGTTTGATGTGGACGGAGGTTGGGAGGGAGAGGGAGAGGAGGGAGGTGATGCGGTGGTCGAGGGTGGTGGTTGTTGCGGTGGTTGAGAGGGTGGATTTGAGGTGGGATGGGAGGGAAGGGAGGGTGTCGTTGGATGCGTGTGGGTCGAGTTGGAATTGTTGGGTTAGGAAGGAGTCCAGGCCGAGGATTGGGGCGGAGGTGGTGGGGCGGAGGTGGTAGAGGAGGAGGAGAGAGAAGATTGTGATGGTGGTGGTTTTGACGGTGATCGGAGATTGGACGGTGTTGAGCATTTTAATTGATTGGGATGGTTTGGTTTGAGTGTTTGATTGAGTACTAGAGCATTATGTGTGTAGTGATTTGAGGAGTGATGAGTTTTTTTCCGGTGGAGAGGGGGGAATTGACTTGAGAAATTGAGAAGTATGATGGCGGTGTTGTTAATTTTGGGGGCGGATCTTGTGTCAAATATGGGTATGAATCGTACGACTTCAGCTGAAAGGAGATCATACAATTATAAATACAGGGTCATATACAACAAAAAGGGGTTTAGACACTAAAATTTATTATACACTCTTTCTATCTAAATACATTTTCTCTCTCTAAACACTTAGTGACTTAAGCTTCAAAAGGGTTCCTTGAGCCACCCCTAAAGGCAACAACGTTTGTCACCTGTGTAGGTTAACTAATTGGATTCGTTTCGATCCAGTCCGAACCACCAAGTACTACACCTAGAACAACACTGTCAGTGTAATGTTTTGCACGGGTGTTAATTCGAGTATCATTAAATGGAATATGGATTGATTGTCTTAAAAAATGGAATATGGATTGACCTATGACGAAACCTTTTACCTTATCCAAATTCTTTGACATTGACATTATTTTTCTCCTCCTTCTAACATATGAGAGAGCTTCACCGGCAAATCTAAATTAGAGCGCAGTAAGTCCCAAATGAGGCAATCACCCTTTGTCTAGGGGTGCATATGAGAAGAAATAACTCGTGGTCTACTCGAGCTCTATTCAGTTAAAACTCGGTCAAAGCTCGAGTTGAGTGGGTTCGACTCAAGCTGAATTGAAATTGACTCGAAATGTTAATGAGTTGCTCATTACTCGACTCGAAAGTCGTGAGAAACTTAAATTCCTTTATACAGTATTATATATAATAAAAATAAAAGTTAAAATATTTTGATTTTAAAACTTTTGTTTTATAATTAATAATTAATAATTAATAAATATACCATATTTATGTACTCATATTATCATATGTATATTTCTTAAATTACAAATATAAAGAGAAGGAAGAGATGTTACACTAAATAAGGGGTTCTACTAAGACGAATAAAATATCAAGCCACTCGAGATTAACTTGGTCAAAACTCGACTCGATTAAGCTTGACTCAATATGTTAACAAGTCGAGTCGAGCTACCCCAAACTCGAACTCAACTCGCATTATAAGCACTCATACCTATGCATATGTACCTTACTGATAAGCTTCTAGAATAACAAAGATTTAACCCATCAAACACTCTAGATTTGCTGCCATGATCATGCACCTTCATTCTCTAGATTTTACTTCTGTAAGTAATTTCTAGAGAAGTTTATTAGAGAGTTTTTTTTTATTCTTTTGACAAAAGTTTATTAGAGACTTAGGAACAAATTATACTTTGATTGGGTCAATGTTTTAGGCCTAAAGAAATTTGGGCCACAATTGACATTAACATTTTTTTTTTCAAGTGAAAATATCAATCATACAAGCTGCATAGACCAACATTGTAAGATCTAAAAATTTGTGAAAAATGGTGACCTATAGACTACTTCAATTGCATTTCCAATCTAATAAAATCTTGAGGAAGATTAGCTAGAAAATCTCTGCAAGATTAGGGATGTTAGCGAGGTGCAGATGAGTCCTAATTTGGTGGGTGGTGGCGCAAAGATGGGATGAAAATCATACCCGCCCCAAATTTTCCTAGCTTGCCCTGCGCCACATCCATTCGTTTTAAGACAAACAACTACTTTGTAATGTATAACATCAAAGCTCAAAACCGTCACAGCCTTAGTTGAAAAAAAAAAACAACTAAGGCCTTGTTCGTTTGGACTATGCAGACCTTATAAGTTCATTTCGGTCAGTTCAGTTTAGTTCTGCAAAATTCAGTTTAGTTCATCCCATTTTAATCCACTTTGAAATTTTTATTGTTACTAGCATAGTGCCCGTGCAATGCACGATGTATATAAATCGATTTATTAATTTTTTGAAAAAAGCATTATTAATCCCGTAGGGAAAAAAAACTAACACATATAATTCAATTAGTAATAATGGGCTCCGTTTCACTAACAAATTAATATGTGTTGTGAAATATATTTGTGGATGTCCATTATACCCTTGTTGGCCTTGTATCATTCCAGAACTTTCTAGATTTTACGGTTATTATTCTCCAAGCAAACCCTGTCAATTATTGTACTATATATATATATATATGTGTGTGTGTATATATACCTCTATCATATAAAAATACAAGTAGAATACTAATTAATTCTCTCTCAAGTTTCTCCTTTTTTCACAACATGTTATCAGCACCAGACTCTACCCGATTAAATTAGGTTAATCTACTATGAGAATCAGGTTCGTTTTAAATGAGTATTACTATTATCACATGTTTAGCATCATGGATACAATTATCTGGTTTGCAAAATATTTCAATAGCATGAATAATCTTTTTACGTAGTATATGTATTTGTAATAAATTGTTAATTAATTATTGATCACCAAAGCTCTAACACAATCAATTAAGATTAGAACTAAAACACAGTCGAACGTAAATATACGGCCATGTTAATTGTCACCAAGGAGTTCTTGCAGTAGACTTTTGTTGTAATTCGACTATATTGATGAAGGAAATTATATCTATTCTAGCTTCATATTATTTGCCGCTTCAATTGACGAAGGAAATTAAGTTGCTGTTTCATCCCTTTTATTTTCCCTATTGATTAATGAAGCAGCACAAGACATGGAAATAATATGCAATTATCCTCTTGCAATTTATATAATTTATATATATATTTTCTGTAGATCATGATTAATTTTTATCCTATATTAATAAGAATTATTATAATGCATTGTTATTGCTAACTAAGTATACAAGGTGAAGGAATTTGTTTAGTGTGGCGATCAAAAGTCATAAGTAAAATTTTAGGGATCTGGTCGAGCCGAATTATATTTGACTGAGTTAAACCATAACTCTACGCAATCAATCCAATTGTAATTAAAGGTACGCATATACTATACTATATTACTTTATTATTGATTTATATACAATTAGCATGAATATTTTGAATAATAATTACTCCCAACAATTCATATTAGACTAAACAAGTACAATACAAATACAACTACAAGTCTATTATTTTTGTGCCCTGTGGATTGTTGTAATTATATACTTCGTATTGTTTTGTTCACTTTAAATCAGTGCCATCGATGCTCTTACAGTCTTACGAATGAAGTATATGTTTCACATACAGTCTTGGAACTCACTTGATGGCTCTTTGATAATTACCTTACATGCATGATAAATCATACTTTGTACTATGTATTTCGTTTGTTTTATCAATTATTTATGTATGAAATCACATATTGATATTATGTGAGCAGTACTTTAAATTATCTAATTAAAATATAATAATAAACAACATGTGTCATAAAATTGTATTATGTCTCTAGATCTAACTTTCTTAGTAACTTGACATCTATTATACATGATGGTTGCAATTATGCATGAGTCATTATATATACATTTCTGTTAAGGAAAAATGTAAACTAATAATCCCACCTTTAGTCGGTCTTCCACAAACAATCCCACCTTTTGAAATTCCAGAAATAATCCCACCTTTTGCCCCTATCTTCCATTAACAATCCCTGACCGGTTGGATTGATTTGGTAACCGATTTTCTTAAGTTAAAAGACACGTGTAGGTTTTTAATAGGTTTAGTCCGATTTTTAATAATTAAAAAAAAACAAATCTAATTAAAAAAAAATAAAGAAGAAAACCCCCAACCCAGCCTGGCACTGCACTCCTCTCCCCATCCCCGCCCTTGCATTCTCCGGCAACCACCACCCTGAAAACACCACCAGTCGCACACCCCTTCCACAACCATCAATTTCGCACAATCCCGGAGTTCAACGATGATGTAATTCGAACACACAGAGTTTTGAGATTTTTCGTGGGGGTGGGATTTCGTCGGGGTGGTACTTGGGTTTTGTGGGGCTGTAGGCGTGGGTTTTGTGGGGGTGGTGGGTTTTGTATAGGTGGGTTTCATGGGGTGGTTTTTATGGAGTTTTTCAGGCTAAGGGTTGAGTTTTTAGGGCCAAGAGGAGTTATTTGGGGCTGTGGGTGGTGTTTTCGGGGTTATCATTGGTGTTTTTGGGGCTGTGGGCGGTGTTTTCGGGGGTGTTAGTGGTTTTGGGGGCTGTGGATGGTGTTTATTTTGGGGCTGTCAGTGGTGTTTTCGGGGCTGTGGGTGTTTTCGGGGTTGTGGGTGGTGTTTTCGGGGCTGTGGGTGGTGTTTTCGGGGGCTTTCGATGGTGTTTTTGGGGCTGTGGATGGTGTTTTCGGGGGCAGTCAGTGGTGTTTTTGAGGTTGTGGGTGGTGTAATTTGAGTGAGGCTCGGGTTTTGGGGGTGGTGATGGTATTCCAGCGTGGTTGGGGGTTTCGTAGTGGCCTAATGGGTGGAGGTGGCGGTAAAGGGCGAGGGTTGGGGTGACCACGGTGGTGGCTGGTGGTCGTAGAAGAGATTAAGTTTTAAAAATAAAGGGAATTTTTTTTAACCAGTTTAACAGGTTGTAGGTCAAAGGGATTGTTAGTGGAAGATCCCTATCAAAGGTGGGATTATTTCTGGAATCTCAAAAAGTGGGATTGTTTGTGGAAGACCGACTAAAGGTGGGATTATTAGTTTACATTTTTCCTTCTGTTAATTTCTCTTATGAGTGAGATTGCTAATATATGCATGATGCCATATATTTAATATTATTGACTATGTGGATATTTTCTAGTTGACCTCAAATTAAATTATGATAATACAAGTATACAACCCCTTTGGCTTCAAATGCAATGTTCAATAGTTTAAAAACAAAATTATGGACAAATCCATTATTTTGTTAATCATATCAGAAAAGGATTTGATTGATGAATTACAGTTTGCGGTGACAGTAATAAGTATGATATGATATATCTATGGAATGGTAAACATAAGTAGTGTAATACTATTAACTTGCAAACAAATACTTTATAAATGCGTACTCCTTATCAATTTTAGGACTTGAAATCCATATTTTGGTCTTAAACACTTAGAAATATTAATTTGTGTATGATTGATTTTGTTTATATACCTATATACATGAAGTGAATTGGATTATAAGAATAATGAATAAATTGAACATGAAATACTTACACATATATATGGACCTGAAGTTCCTTAAATTTATCAAGGTTTAAAAACCCTAAAAATGATATAAAGATGCGTATATGACCTAGAAAATTCTATTAGTTTCTAATAAAGTATGTTGCTAAAAAGCATCCGCGATACTAATGCGTCTATAT